TTAGATCAAGGTGAGAATTCTGACTTAGTGGAAAGATGTGGTACTCTATGCTACGACAACCATAGGCACGTAAAAGATTCATATATATCATACTTTTAATCATTTCATTTATGTTTTCCTCACGATATCCTGTGAGCTTATCAGCACTTGCATGACAGCGCTTCTTTCCAGTAATCCAACCTTGGCTCGGGGACAAGAGCTTAAAAGGGCAAAGAAATTTAAGTACAGCCCGAAAGTGTGGCCCCACTTTGAAAAGTTCATATATAATGTCCTCGATGCATAAAATTCCGAATTTTCCTGCAAAATTAAATAAGGAAAAGTAACAAGGTTAAGAATACGGTATAGGTGGCAGAAAAACAGTAAGGAAATAGATCTTAGACTAGCCTAGGCTTTCCTCGACAGCAATATTAGTAATAGGAGATAATTTTCCTCTAACGATACTCGTTCCGTGCTTATCAATTAGGTTTCTAATGGTAATCATATTTGGATATCCCCAAGCAACATAAGGCTGTATGATGCTAATCAGCTCTAGAAAAGGCTAAACATTTAAATAATGAAGCAATACCTTGGTTATCTTAACAAAGATAGCTTGATTAATGGTGGAAAGACCAAGCACCTCAAAAATTTGGACACAAGGTTTGGGCATGGTTTCATCAGCCTTAAGTCTGACTACGAGCCCGAGTTTGGCGTCATTTCCAACAAAAATTGGCTTTTTATTTTTAGAGAAGCGCTCAAGCCGCATTTGTTCCTTATGAAGAAGCCTTGCTTGCTATACAGATTAAAAAAACGCGGAGTACGTTTATAAAATGAGCAGGGGTTTTGACAAGATTCCGAAACTTTTTTGAGCGTTTCCTAATTTCAATTGAGCGGAGCCTTTGAGCCTTTATCACATCTTTTTCAGAACTTTTTCGCTTTTTAAGGAGAGAAACGGGAATTGTAGGCAATTTAGGGACGGGATCATTGTTTTGACTATTGAAAGTTAAAAAATGAAACGTACAAGTGGAGTCGCGGCATAGCGAGCGAGGGAAGGAAGCGCTGGTGCGAATACACAAAATAAT